TGAAACTTCCCAGTTACCTGCAGGATCATCAAGAGGTAAAAATGTACCCGTGTATTTAACGTGCATGAAAATGTATTTTCGAGATATTTCATATTATAAAGTCCAAAACATTGACTTTACTGATATAATTTACAACCTTAATAGTAAAAAACTGACTTGTTCATTTGTGGTGCGTCCTCTCGACACCAGGTACAAGTGGAATCCAGTGAGACCCAGGACCGGGATCAGAAACAGCCCTGAAATACTGATCACGACCAAACTGGAGATACAGGTCAGGAAAACTGCTCCTTATTGTTCAGCTTTTACATACGGAAACTAACACACACGCACACGCACACGCACACGCACACACACACACACACACACACACTGGCATATACACACTGGCATATACACACTGGCACACATACACACTGGCACACACTGTGAGTAAGGATACGTGACAGTGCAGTGCAGCTTCCATAACTCCTCCATGTGTTGCAGGACGTATATGAGGCCAAAGGTGAAGACACAGATCATGTGAACTGTCAGCGACAACAGAAACAGGAAGAAGTAGCGGTAGTTGCGTCTCCCGATGCAGTTGTTCACCCAGGGACAGTGATGATCAAAGTCCTGGGAGGAGATTGTGAGGGGGGGGGGGGCAAAAGAAGAAAAATGAAATTAGCCAGAGCCGGAGATAAAACATAACTCACTCATAAAAGAAATATTTTTGCTGCATAGATTCATCTCTGGCTCAGGAACTCGGCAGAATATTCTCTGTGCTGCTAAATATATTTCGTTTAACAGAGGTTGTCTGAGCTGATTTTCAAATTGCATTTCCACGGAGACTACAAAGGATCGGAAAGAAGGATTAACCTGATTAATGAGAACTCTCTCCCCCTCCATCACACTCTGTCCATCATTCACTGCAGAAATCCCTCTTTATTGACTCCCCCCCACACACACACACACACACAGACACACACACACACACACACACTGCCACTCTCACACATGCACACTCAACCACATTTCTCCCTGATCTTTCCACCCATGCCTCGTATTTTATCACCGTCACCACTCGTTTCTCTCATTTAAATCCCCCCATGTTTGTCTCCACCCTCCCCCTGCGTCCCAGGGCGACTTAATAAAAACTCATGTCCCTTCCCCTCGCTTCTTTAAATCTCTCCGTGCACTCACCTCCACACAATGGTCGCAGACGCTGCAGTGCGAGCAGCGCGGAGGTCTGTAGAAATGGCACGAAGCACACCACTTCATCCGCACCTGGACGCCCCTCACATCCACGTTCTTGTACAGCGGAGCGCGGAACTCGTCGTCTTTGTCCTCGTCCTCGTTAGCTGTCAAACAGTGTGTGAAGATGTCAAGTTAAACATCCTTCCTCTTTTTATTTGTCATGTGTAGTTATTTCTCCCACTGTGAGCACACTGTCGTGTTGGTTACTGACCCATTGGGAGGACACCAGCATCCATGAAGGTTGCCATGGTGAAGTTGGCCAGCACAAAAAGGAAGATGATGGCGCAGCATGGCGGCACAGCAGGGCAGACGGCTACAGCCAACCACGGGCATCTAAACACACACATACACACAGAAGAATGAAAACATAAGAAGCAGAGTTCATGATGTAAATCGAAGGTTCGACGGCGTCTCTGAGCCAAGTATCCTTCCCTTAGAGGTTAATGTTAACACAAATCAGTGCCACAACAAAGATTTTAAGGGATAATCTACATCCCATTTGTTCTGATGGGAGCAGTGAATCCCAGAAGCAATTGTTTACAGTGAGAGATAAGCATGTATTAGTGTGTGTTCACCAGTGCCCACAACAAGGGATTATTCGACTGGTCTCTCCTGGCTGAACGTTTCTGCAGCAGCAGCAAGACACTCAGTTTGTCTGTTACACACTGAAGCCGGTCAGGACACCTGAAGGCCGAGTATTTTCAAACTGTTTCATATTTTATCGATTAAGAATTCGGTCAGAAATCTGTAAACAAAAAAGTCCTTCACATGTTCCGAGGCAATGACAATTAACAATGACTTGAGATGTTGATGATGATTATTATGTGTATTTTATAAGTTTAGTTATTTGCATTGTGTTTTTTATCCTGTGTAATGTGTC